GTAGTGACTGTAGGCAACCCACCTCATGTCATACAGTGAGTCTGATATACTGAAATACTAAACAGAACCCCAGAAAGCCAGTATTTTTTATGACAGGATTATCCTTCCTCTTATAGAGCCCACTGCTCCCCTCTTTGACCTGAATCTCTTAATGCTGCAAAACCTGAGTATACGATGGATTTGACATCTCTCCAGAAAATAGCATCTGAGACACAAGTACTAATGATTGTTTTTACAAGTGCCAATACGATGATAGTTTTCGATGCATCTTCACCTTCATATACCCCAAAGCCAGTGACACACAGGTTAATCGATGACTTAAGATTTAATCAGAAAGTGTCGAGAAAGAAGTTGCTGTAGTGCGATACAGATAAGCAACAACCTAGCTCCGAAGTGGATAACAGTGCTTCAGAGTGATTCAAGGAAATACACAACAGGACAGGCAAGGCAGACAGAATAAGGCAGAGCAAAAAACCCATAAAGATCAGTAACTCACTTTTAACTCTGATTAGCTGCAAATGTTTAGCAATCAAGAATGGTTTAGCAGTAATCCTTATTTCTAAGTGGGAACTGATGTTAACAAAGAAAAAACACAGTCTAAGGAAAATAACCTTTCTGGGCTGTAAAGCCAGACAGAGAAAAGCAACAGAGCACAGGAGTCCATCCCTTCTGCCCTCCTGCCTCTGCTCTGTCCCCAACACAGACAGCTCCCGAGGACAGGCCTCTCTAAGGAAAAGTTATCCTGCCCTTTTGGTTACTCGTCCTACCCCTCCTGCTCTAGAAGGTAATTTGTTTTAATACATCATTGAAAAAGCCAGCATGATTTCTCCTCATTAGTAGTCACAAAAATGAAGGTTTTCTTGGGTGGGTTTGTTTTTAAACAAGAATAATTGCAATTCAGATTTGCTGAGCTAGTTTTTACAGAAACTTGTGGGAAAACCAACCAAACACATCATAAAAAAGACACCACAAACACAGATGAAGACATTTAACGCCTTACATACGTTGATATCATGACCTGAAGTCACATCGCTAAGCCAGCCTGTGCAGTGCTATAGAGAGGAACGTGAGAGCTTCCTTTGCGTGATGGGAATAGGTGAACCACTCAAGCACAGAAACAAGTCAAGACGCCGACGGAGAAAACAGGAAACTGATGGAGGCAGGAAACGGGGGGCCCTTGAATCTGCTCTTGCTGCTTTTCATTCAACAGCATGGGGTGGGGGCTCCCACTTGAAGATTTTTAAGAACCAGCTAAGGTTCTTATGCATCAGGAATGGAACGGATAGGTTTGTCTTCACCTTAAAGCAGAGGGAAATAAGGATGGATCTCTTGAGGTCATTTCTAGCCCTATATTTTTCTAGGATTTGGAAATGGACCCTTCAAAATAGCAACAGCTACTTCACTTACCTCCGAAGGAAGACACCCCTACAACAGTCCCATATTGCAAGCTGTCCTTTTTCCAGAATGTTATAATTTATTCCCATTCTAAAAGGTTCTTCACACTGCCAGAGCAGCAGAAAGACACTTCGGTGTCACTGAGAATCAAGCCCAAAATATCAATCAAGTTCTTTATTTATCTCTCTCGGATATAATCATCTCTCTAGAATTAGAGGACTATAGTTTTTAGGTTTTGATACAACACAATTAGATATCAGGGTTTTGAATAAAATAGAGTTTTAAACAGAAGGTTAAGACAGCATTAAAAAAATTATTAGCATGTCAGTAGAGTCTGAGCAGACAGCTCTTTAATAACACTGAACAGGGAATTTAAGGGAAAATACTTCAGGGAAGTACATGAATATTCTTTTCAGCAGAATGATTTCTTTAAAGACAAAAATCAAAATTATGCAGGTCTTTTTTTTGTTTCAAAAGAATCACTTTGAAGGTAAAATATACCTACCCAAAGCAATTAAGATGAGAAGAAGAAAGATAGAGAAAAAGAATACTCCAAGGGCCAAGTATGTAAGACTGAAAGGACTACTCAGTCAAGGTATAATCATCCATTTTCCACTGAATTACATTTATTTAATATGAACATAAAGGTGTGCAGAAGAGATGAATGGGTTACAGGAGAAGGTAAAATGAAAGCTCTAAAATGTTGTTCTTTGGAAAGTATCACCATTATCAAAGAGAACTGCTTGCTGCAAGTCAAACAGATTTCTGTTTGAATTCAAGATTAAGTTGTGCATGGCTCTGTGAGCAACTACTAGGAGAAGAGAAATAGAAGATTACAGAAGGAATACTTCTACAACAGTCAGTAGTGCTTGACAGACTCCAGTCTCGGTTTTAGTAGTTGTAGATCTCAGCCATCAAACTTCTCATGGGTGACAAAGGAAGAAATTTGAAGTTAACTTTTACTTTAAGACTACAGTCTTCCTCTCCAACTCTGATCTTTACTTTGAAGGACAGGAGGAAACCCGAGCTTCCCCTGGCCTCCATCATATGCTTGCCATCAGATGAAAAAGAAAATATGTATCAGATTTTGCTGTATGAACAAAATTGTTCATGTTTGTAAGTTCTACCAAATATCTGTCTCATTCCTTTGCCTCGAGAGTCAGTTTTATTCATTTATTTGCTTTTATTAAACTATTTATTTATGAATTCTTGCTCAAAACAACTGAAAATCCTGAAGACAAGCACAAAGGATCCTTAGTCACCGCAGATTACACAGCATTCCACTACAAAAATGAGAAACCACTTGAACGCAGTATTTTGCATCACAACCCCAGCTCAACAATTCTGGGGCAGAAACCTGGGATATTTTACCATTTTAAATGCCATTACAGAAAACAAGAACACATTCTCATTTCAGTTGTATTTCCTCACCTAGCATATACATTTATAGATAACCTCTGTACTTGCCTTTGGTCATGTATGATGCCCTGACACTAATTTAGAAATAATTCAGAAAGAAAAGTAGACTTCCTATTTTATTACCCAACTCACTTCACAAAGCAAGCAGATTTCCGCTAAGGCCTCACAGGAAGAATGAGGAGGACATACTTTGTTTCAGCTCCTGGTGAGAGGCATCAGGTGTTCCTCTAGTCAACCCTTGCTAGCGGCACAGCAAGTTTTTTCAGAGGCTGCATCAAAGGCCTAGCTCTGATGGATGCATAAAATAAGACAGACTGAGAGCAGAGCTTTCAAGAGCAAAAAAGACCAGTAGGCTTAAGGAAAAAAAGGTATTTCAGGTTACCCGTGTGTTTTTAAAAATTGTAGCTGGGAATAAAAATTAAAGATAACGTGGAGAAAATATTACACTAGCCACCACAGTTCGTTAAAGTACCATGCACAGAGCAGGCAGCTACTTCAGTAATGGAACAGATCCTGTTCCTCCATATTTTACTTTCATTGAGAAGAGATGACTTCAATGACTTCAAGTTTATTGTTAACATACCTGTCCTGGCTTCCTTCTGTGATGCGATAGAGACGATTGGCACCTCCATCAGCACAAGCTCTCAGTGCAGCTGCAAGAGAAGAAACAGAACATCAATGTATTGGCATTATAAACAAAAAACCACAACCAGTTACTCCATTACTGACATTTCTGTGTAAACTGAAGTGTTCATTGCAGCACAGGGAATAAACTTGAGATCTCATATGGCTTTTAGCTTCCTATACTTGACTACTTCCCTTGTTTCTCTAAATAGACATTTGAACTGCTGTTATCAGACTAGTGCCAATCTTCATCTGTCTGTGCCACTGTACTTTCCACATAGCTTATTTCTATCTATCCTAACCTACTGCCCAGTTAGTTTAAACTACATGGGAGGCAAGTATTCAAAACCTGAAAAGGGCCCATCCTCTGTGTATGGGCATGTACTTGTCTAAACAAGTAGAACTTGCGCCTTAAACCTAACAATCTTCTCACTCAGGCAAAAGGTTCACAATGGTGGCTCTATAATGACCTCCATAAAAACTCTGTCTGTGTGTGTGTGGGGGGGGGGGGGGGAATAGTTAGGCATGACAATACCCGTTTTCTCTTTTTTTCCCCTCCTATGACACAAACATGGTAACTCTACTACAGCTCCTGTACTGTTCCACAGACTGTTTGAATCATCTGATATAAAGCAGGTGGGTTAGGTCTTGGATTTAAATCTTGAACTATCCAGGTACAAAAGGAAGAAAACCACAATAGTTTTCAGCGCTTCCACATAACTTGGGGACAGCAAAGGGCACATGCCACTAATTCCAATTGATTTAAACAAGCACAGACATGCTGTTCTCTTTCAATCGCTTTGTTTATATAGACTTAAGTCAGAGAAAACAGTCTAACACTATTATTACAAAATCAGATATAAATTGGTATATTTTATTCATAAGCATCCCTATTAATCATCATTTAACTAACACACAGTTCTTTCATGAGATTTTTTTAAATATGATAAGCTATTAAAGATTGAAAATGACCATCTTGTCTTAGCAGTCTTTATCAGTTTTGCTCTGAGATGCACAAGCCAGATAACCGCAGCACGCACGATAAAAGAAGCTGTCACTTCCACACTAGAGCAGAGTGTTCCTTCCAAGTCTGCGGGCAAAAAGAACCCGACTGGTAGACCTGAGAGCACTGAAAGTCAGAGAATCGGGGCGGGGACGGGGGACGGCGCGAGGAGGGAGGAG